TTCTAATAAACAATTACAGACCAATCTCAATACTTCCAATCTTTTCTAAAATACTTGAACGAATAATCTATAATAGATTATATGAATACCTAATACAAAACGAATTCTTAAATAAAAAACAATTCAGCTTTCAAGCCCAGCACTCAACAGAACATGCAATTTTAGATTTAGTTAATAGCATAAGTGATTCTTTTAATAAAAAGCAATTTGTATTAGGAACTTTTATAAAGTTTGTATAAACTTTTGCAAAGCATTTGACACAATTAATCATGATATCTTACTAAAAAAATGGGGAAATACGGAATAAAAAATACTAGCCTAAATTGGTTTAAATGTTATCTGTGCAACAGACAAAAATGTGTTAGTTCAAACGATAATAAACATTCTAATTTACTACAAATGAAATGCGAAGTTCCCCATGGTTCCATTCTTGGTCCTCTATTATTTTTAATTTATATTAACGATCTTCCACAATCACTAAAAATACTTGATGCAATAATGTTTGATAATGATTCAAATTTATTTTATTTATTAGCATCAATTGAAATTCTCTTTGAATCTGTGAACGATGACCTTGAGAGTCTAAATAGAGCCGTGGCTAGGCTTCCCCACACACTCCAATTGGGGGATGGGGGGAAGAATTTTTAGGGGCCCTTTTCAATAATTGAAAATAAATTTTGTATTTTTTATAATAAAAATATTTAAGTATATATAGTTACTGTTACTATTAATAAAAAAAACTTGACTTTTTAATCACAATATTATCTAAATTATGCAAGCGTAAAAAAAGCAATAACATTTTTAATGCAAAAAAAAAGAAAAAGAATTAACACTCCCGAGGTCCGAATTAAATTATAAAACGCAAGCTTTATAAATTTATTATTTTTATTTTGCAATTTCGAATTAATTTTTTTGATTATTATTATGCGTTGTTAGTTTTTTATATGATAAAAAACAAATAATGAAAGAAGGTTTGCAAAAATATTTTTTATCTTTAGTTTTTCACGATATAGATATTGGTATGAAAAAAGGGAAATGTGGTGCCACTAAGAGAAGAGAAAAAGCTACAGCCAGGGAGGAAATCATAAAATACCCCAAACTAACGCATTTTTTGAAACCAGCAGTTCATCCTGAAAGTGTTTTGACACCAACAGAAACTATAAATAATTATGATTGTCATTATTTAAATACTAGAGTCAGATAGGTTGATATGTGAGTCTACATCAAATGACATAACAATTACGCCTTTTTTTCTTTTTGATGATTCTTCTGAGTTGCCTGATGATGTTTCTGACGCACAGAGGTGTGATATTGTTAAACGTGGTTTTAAAAAGATCGTAATTGATTTTCTAGACAACTTAAAAAGAAGACGATATTTACTGAATTATTATAACAGCAAGATGAAGAATGGAGAAATCTTTGAACGGACATGGCTCATATATTCTTTGATTAGCAATAAAGTGTTTTGCTTTTGTTTCAAACTTTTTAGGATAACTTCTTCACCATTCCGACAAGTAATGAACAGGCTTATCAAAAAAACTTAAAGAACACAAAACATGCAGTGCACAATTTAAGTGCTTTGAATTTGGATGACTTAACGAAAAGGTTAATTCAAAAAATATTTCTTTTAATTTATTGCTTTGATTTTTTTTGACTTTTTTTTCTTAATTAATTTTTCCCTCTCAATTTTGGTAATGCAAGCATTGCAAATCTAGATACCATAGACGAGCAACAATAAAAACAGTGTTAGAAAGGATACTGGACATTACCTTATTTCTGCAAGAAATTTTGAATTCGGTGGTTAAGACACAGCTATTGGTTCAAAAAGATATGAAAAATTTTTTTGGTGTTTGAATTACTGGCTTAGTACAATACCGTTCTCAATGAGCTTATGCAAAGAATTCAGGAGAAAGAAAACCAAGGAGCACTATTTGAGCAATGACACACAGAACGAGTTTTGATGAGGAGATTGAATCCAAAAACCTTTCTAGGGTAAAAAAAGCAAAATACTATTCTATTATTTTAGATTGAACGCCATACATTTCGCACAAAGAACAAATAAGCATTGGTCATTAGTGCAATTTCTTTTTTTGCTGTTCTTTCAAGGTTATATTCACTCTTTTCATCGTCTCCTCTTCGATGGGAAATTTTAAAATTGTGCGTGGCTATTTCTGTCAAACCACAATCAGATACCAGATGGGAAAGTAGAATAAACTGTGTTTAACCACTTTATTGTTATTTAAAAGAAATCTTAGAGGCACTTGGAAGTTTGGAAGAACATGACTTAGAAAAGAAAGATGGGGCTACAGCCACAGAAATACGATTGCTCACAGAATTTATTAGAACGTGGCCTTTCTTATTATCAATCATTATTTGGTATGATATTTTATTTCAAATCAACAAACCAAGTAAGCTTTTTCAGTCTTCTGCAACCTCTCTTGACATATTAGCTGTGAAATATAGCAACAAATGCATTTTTTTTATGAGTATCGCAAAAATAGATTTTCCAAAGCACGTATTAAGGCATCAGAAATTGCAGAAATATTGAATATTAAAAAGGTTTTTTCAATAATACGTTTACGAAAAAAAAATCGATTTATTCATACGAGTGTGTTGATCACACTCGGCAACCTGAACATCAGTATAAAGCAGATTTTTTTTGCGATTAATTGATATGTCAATTGCATCCGTAAAAGAACGTTTTGAACAGATCAGCATTGTCAAAAAGTTTAATGACTTCCTTTACCAATCTGAGAGTCTTATCAAAGCTTGTAATGAAAATATTTTGTCTGTATATTGCAAAAGTTTGCAAATGAAGCATGATGATATAGATTTTGAGGATTTAGAAATAGAGTTAAAACAATTTGTCATATAACAAGGAGGAAAAAAATGCTTCAAAGAAAAGCTGCTACAAACTTATTCCAATCTAGTTAATGCGTTGCGAATCATTCTTACTTTACCTGTTACTGTTGAAAGTGCAGAACGTAGCTTTAGTAAGTTAAAACTAATTAAAATTTTTCATAGGTTAGTATAAATAATCTTGCTTCATTATAGATAAATACATGTGGCTATATTTATTTGTATATTTAAATAGATCAACAATGGTCGATGAACGTTTGTCTTTTTTAGTAACGTTGTCAATTGAAATTGACGTTGCAAGGAAATTAAGTTATGAAGGCATAATAAATGAGTTTATAAGCATAAAAACACGTCGCAGACCTTTTTTTGATGGTTTGCGACGTACTTGTATTATCTGCGTAATACACTAACAGTATTTAAAAAAACTCTTTACTAGTAAACTCTATATCAATTTAACAATTATAAATTATATTTAATTGAATTTAAGCATTAATTTGATTGTTTTTAGTCTTATGAACGGCAATGTTAAAATATGTCGGTACCCTGTTTTTCGGTGTAATCTGAAAATTTTATCCACTTTTTTAGAAAAAAATAAACAAAAAATTGGGGCAATATGGTTAGTTTTTTTGGGGGTCCTAGACCCACTTGCCACGGTACTGAGTCTAAACATTTGGTTTAAAGTAAATAAATTATCAATAAATACAGAAAAAACAAAATACATATTGTTTCATTCCAACCAGCACAAAAATAAAATACCAAGCTTTCTACCATTATTAAATATTAATGACATAAACTTCGTAAGAACTGAAACTATTAAATTTCTTGGGATAATTATTGACGAAACGTTTTCTTGGAAAGCCCATAATAAAAATACAAAAATATCAAAAAGTA